AGCTGACGCGGGCAAGCTCCCGTTCAAGGTTGGCCGCTCGCTGCGCTTCTGCTTCTCGTGCGGCTTGAAGATGATGCACGGTCTGCTCGAGATGGCGGACTTGATCTTCCAGATTCTCCTGAGTAGGACGCGATGTGCGGCTGATGGAGAGGGTCTGCATCTGGTGCGGTGGGAGGGACATAGGGATGCCGGGCGAAGAAGTCGCAGGAGTGGAAGGTGAATGTCCTTGTAGCATGGCATGAGTGCGAGCTTGCTGCAAAGAGAAAGGCTCCGAGAAGGGCGATGGCGATGGAACGAACTGCTGCGTGAAACCCTCGGGGTCGGCTGCATTAGAAAAATTCTGAGCATTATAAGGTGGCTGATATTGGTTAAGAGAGAATGCGCCAGACGGACTGGCTGATGCCGGCGTAAGTGGTGTAGAAATATAAGACATGGATCCTTCGTCGGTTGTGGCCACGAAACTACCTTGAGGGACGGACCAGGCCATCCCTGAAGGGATTGAGGTCGTAAGCTGGGGATTAGATATGTGAGTGTCACCCATGGCGCCGGATAAACTAGACGTCGGGCTCGACGACGATTGCCTCGTTCCGCGGCCAGAGAGATTCTGTAAGGGTCTGGCGTTAGTACGACCGCTAATGACATCAGATGAGATCTACCGTACTTGAGGATAGCCGCCAACGAAGGCAAACGAGTGCGGATCTCCGCCGGGTCGTCTAGGGCCTCCGCCTACATCGGGGTACTGTCCTTGGCTGGCATCACTCTTCGGTGACCACGACCCATGGGGGTACGACATGGTGCAGGAGCTCGAGCGTTATGTCAAGCTGCTGCGAAGAGTGGATATAGTGAAGACAGAGCACCGTAAGACGCTCGAGATTAAAAGCGAGATCCAGCGAAAGGAAGTCCTCGACGAAGTGAGGGAGGATGTGAGGCACCAGCTCAGGTGAGTGAAAGTCGCAAACTCAGCAGGCAATGGCGAACTGGAGTGGAGTTGGCAGTTAATATATGGTGAAACATAAGATGATGGGCAGTGCGTTGACGTCGTAGGTATCCTACCGCAACACACGACGGATGGAGTCGCTTTCGCCACGGCGATGATCAAACAAGTCGCGAGGGAGAAGGATACTGATCGGATGGTGCTGAGAGCTGTGGAGGTAAGCTAAGCGCGGACATAAATTGATCGCTCACAGCGTAGAATCACATGGATGACGTGATATAACGAGAGATGGGACAAAGACACTGCATGGCTGATGGCTTGCAGCGTCCGGGGCCAACAGCGCACTGCTTTACGCGCACGTCCTCCAGTCTTGTAGCGGTAGCCGCGCGCACGGTGACAGCGAGCAAGACAGTGTTGACGAAAAGCCACCCCCGACCATGCACTGTAGACGGACGAGAGTTGCACCGCGGCCATCAGTCGGGGAGACGATACAGGCCGGGGTACAGAGGATGGTGGTGGCGGTGTGCTCTGTAACCGGAACGCCCGACGCGTTGTCTAACACAACGACCACGTGACGCTTCGCACGGCACGAAGCAGTCTCCGCAGACGGACCAATGATATCTGCACTGGCAGTGAGAACATCGACTCGCGCATAGGCCAGGCGTAGGTTAATCATCACCAGCCTACACCGCACACATAAGCCTCGCCTTTCAGCGTGACCATAATGCCGTGGCGAAGCGTATGTGGATGGCCAGGGGGTTTCAGTTTGCTGTAGTTTGAGATCATCCCCAGCTTATTTGCCAGCCAGGCGTAGTAGAACACACACCGTGCACAGCCAAGTGAGCACAGGCAGTGGGACGCTGCCTAACCCTTACAAAGTTCACCGGAGGATCGTATAGTAAGAGTCGACATGGAGCCTACAAGCCTTAGGACAGCCAATTGCAATGTTGCACACATGTCGCCATACCTGGTCGTGCCAACTCAACATCTATGGATCTGCCACATGAGCCGTTGCTAGACGGGGATGTTCGCCACTTGCCGCCGCTTGGAGACGTGCTGCAAGCAGGATGGGATCTATCTGCCTGCGCGTCTTAGTCAACGGAAGCAAATCGACATGAGATCTAAACGTACCTGCCACTAATCCTTTGCGGGGTCCGAGACCATGAATCGGGTCGAACAGGCTCACCGGCTCAGCAAACGATCACTGCAAAACCAGCGCAGACCGATACGAGCCCCTTTGTGAGAGTGGTTGTCAAGCATGGGCAATGGGTATTCCTTATCGAAACGTGGACGTTCGCACATTAAGCATGTCCCGCGGAAAGTGACTGTTGAACCTGTATCGAACGAAGCCTCCATGTTTCAGCACTGCTCCGAATGAGATTAATTCGACGCCCAAGGACCCAACAGGACTCACTCGCAGCATGATCTGGACAGGTGTCACATAGATCTGCGCGTCCCGACACAGCGCGCAAGTTGTTGAAGTCTTTGTAAAGGATTTCAGCGCATGACTTACCGGCTGAGGCCTGAGGCATTACCGGAACCCATCGCGGGAGAAGGGGTGCCTCGGAACTCGATGAATAATTATCCATACTTCGGGAAAATCCCGGCCGGAGAAACGTAAATTGGTTCATGCTATAGCCTACAGCGCATGTCTCGTCCCTGAGGGTTGCCCGGGGGTGGCATGAAATGAAGGCAGGACGGAGAATGCCCACGGCTTCCGCGAATACAATAAGAGATTAGATTTTTGCGTCTGACCCCCAGAACTGAGAGGCGACAACCAGCACTCTGTGGGGCTGTTGCGATGTAAGCCGGCTGAGGTTACAATCACAAACCTAAGGGAGCATGCAGGGCGATTTGGAAATTACCCCAGAAGCGATTATCGTTGCGCCAACGTCCCTCTTATTTTGGAGATCAATCCTGTAGGAAGGCAACCGCTGAATTATATCTGACCTACCGGAGCCGCAGCATGACAGCAAACGTACTCACCTACCCACGCACAGCTGCTACCGTTTCCATCGTATTCTGGGAATGACCGACTTCACGCGCAATGACAACAGAAATCTGGGTTTGGGCTGATGTGGCCTTGACGCCCATGGCGCTGTTATTAGAAGATTGACCGCATCGTATATCTCTTCGCACCTGTGTATATCAACTGGCATATTCACATGCCCTACGGGCCACGAACTAGATGATGGAAGTCAGCCAATCAGCAGCCGCTGGCCGCTGAGCGCTGAATGGACAGTGGCACTATCAGATGTTGTCATCAGCAGAGCTTGTGTAGACTGCAGTCGGACCCAGAATAAGAATCGAGTGGTTGCAACAGGTCTATGTCAAGTATACTAAGACGACAACAGCTCTCCGTCTCGAGGGCTCGAGCGGAATGTCTCGTCGAGAAGGGGGTGTCTGGACGACATTTTTAGAGCACCACCGTGCTTCTCCCCATAACCTGGAGACGATCGGATACCACGCACTGTAGCGCACACCCGTTACCAAGCGCGCTCTTGGCTACGCAAGACGCCTAGACTACTGTCATGCCGGTGATTCCCATCCATGTAGGCTCCTGTCGCGGCCAGGCGTTCGATAACTACCCCGCCATTTTGCCAAAAGCGGAATAACAGAACGAGGTATGCGTGGAGGTCGTCGGAGTAGCCCAGGAGGGATGTCCTGATATGCAAGCTACAATTTGTTTTTCAACCTGAGAAACAGCTCTCTGACTCCATGCGTGGCGAGCTCTTAATGGTCAGCTCCTAATAGGACAGCACAATGCTAGAATTTATGCGGGCTGATTTCTTTATTCGTACTGTATGCCTGTTGAGGTACTAAACGCATGTAAATGAAACTCTAGCACAGCAAAGAAATGACCATTTTCCCAACGAGGAAAAGTCCACTTTTCACGGGGGGAAAGGCTTACTCAATTCAATTGGCACCTTTGTGATGTCTTTCCGACACCTTTCCATTGCGTGAAACGGTGATTTCTTTGTTTGCAGATGAACATCATACAACTGGAATATTTCAGGTGTTTGAACATCATCTGTCAAATTGGCCTGTGATGAAATACCTGACAACGACAAGGGCGATACCCCTGGCTCCACATATAAGCTGCCAAAGTAGCAAATTTTCTAACCGAACAGGAGACCATCGAGAATCACCGGGTACAATGATGTTGGACGGGTTTAGAAACGCAGAGGACTGCTTCGACGTAGCAGCGGTTTGTCTGAACCAACCACCCATATGTAGTTTCATTCCGTGCGGGAGTGCCCATCCTCGTAGCTTATCACATCCCGCCACGGCTTCCCCTTCGGCAGTACTTGACTATTGTGCTCCTGTCTTAGTCCCGCATGCCGCTAGACTGATCAAGAAACACTCGCCTGGACTCAGGAGGAAGGGACACCTGGCCATTGTCCATGTCCACATCGATGTACCTTGTCATTTCCACGGCAGGACGACCCGGGCACCTGTAAAGTCGTACGTTAGATGCTTATCTCACAATAAGTGGACACGTTGCGCAATATATACATTCTAAAGATACGTAGAACAGGCCAGCAGTGAAACTGCGGGCGACCCTCGTCGTCCGTTTCGGCGTCGCATTTGTACTGAATGATCTCGGCAAGACGACACTTTCCGTGCACCCCAGTCAAGTTCTTCGCTTGCTGTGGACTGGCCATGCCCAAGTGTCAATCAGAAACGCGCGAACAACACGAGTGAACCACGAGTCAACACGAGCAGAATAAACGATGCGTTCTGACTTTGGCCTTAGCCACTCGGCGGCGGCCGGCATCACGTGCGTAGCCTCTGAAGGGAAGTGTAGTCAAAATAAAATCGGGAACGGAATCGCACCAGTTCTCACCCTCTTTCTCTTTCCCCCATCTTCCACCCATATCACCGCCCTCCAGTCTACGCAGTAGTCAAAATGGTTTTCAAGGTTGCTGGTGGGTCTTTATCATGTTATACATCGATTCTCGCTGACTCGATGGGCGCAGACATTTCTCTGGCTGCGTTCGGTCGCAAGGAGATTGAGCTCGCTGAGGTCTGTAGCATATAGCCGCTCGTTTTACGTTGCCTAGCCTATGTTCAACTAATATAGAATGAAATGCCCGGTCTGATGTACATGAGGACGAAGGTGATTTCCTCGATCATATCCCATTGAGACCTGTACTGAGCCAGATTGTCTAGTACGGCGCAGCGAAGCCCCTAAAGGGCGCTCGTATCGCAGGGTGCCTCCACATGTCGGTGTAGATCCTTCGCGTGCTTGATGCGTGGACTGAGTCATTCCCATTTAGGACCATCCAGACTGCCGTGCTTATCGAGACTTTGGTGGTACTTGGTGCTGAGGTCGCGTGGTCATCATGCGTGAGTTCATGTCTCAGGGATTCCCATTATCTCCCCACATTAATTGGGATAATCCCACAGAACATTTTCTCTACCCAAGACCATGCTGCTGCTGCGTGAGTGTTTTTTGCCACTGTGGGAGGGATCTTGGTTCACCTTCGATCTTGCCGATCGATCTAGTATTGCTGCGACAGGAATCCCTGTCTACGCGTGGAAGGGTGAGACAGAGGACGAGTACAACTGGTGCATTGAGCAGACCCTTTGTGCTTTCTCGGGCGGACAGCCATTGAACATGATCCTTGACGACGGCGGTGATCTCACCACTTTAGTCCATGATAAGTACCCTCAATTCCTCTCTGGTAAGTGAATTTGTTGTGTCCAGTATGAAGATACTCACCGATTCATTGCGATAGGCATCCGTGGTCTGTCTGAGGAGACTACGACTGGTGTTCACCACCTGTACCGCAAGATGAAGGAGGGCAAACTCAAGGTCCCTGCTATTAACGTCAATGACTCGGTTACGAAGTCTAAATTTGACAACTACTACGGCTGCCGCGAGTCTCTTGTAGATGGTATCAAGCGTGCTACCGATGTTATGCTTGCAGGCAAGGTTGCAGTTGTCGCAGGTTTCGGTGACGTTGGCAAGGGTGTAAGTACGGCCTTTCCATGAGATTCATCTCCTTACAATTCCCATAGTGTGCTCAATCACTTGCTGCGTACGGTGCTCGTGTCATTGTGACCGAGATTGACCCCATCAACGCACTCCAAGCTGCGATGGCAGGCTATGAGGTCATTCCAATGGAGGAGGCTGCTCCCCGCGGCAATGTGTTTGTCACTACCACGGGCAACCGTGATATCATTACCGGAAAGCACTTCGCTGTGATGCCAGAGGATGCCATTGTTTGCAAGTAAGTGTTCATCATGTTGTTCTAATTGATGATTGATCGCTGACATTGAACCCAGCATTGGTCACTTCGATGTCGAGATTGACGTTGCCTGGTTGAAGGCCAACTCAACCAGCGTCGTCAACATCAAGCCACAGGTTGATCGCTACACGTTGGCGAGCGGTCGTCATGTGCTTTTGTTGGCGGAGGGTCGTCTCGTCAACCTCGGGTATGTAGTCTGCCATTGGTGTCCGTTATCTATGCTGATGCCATCACTCGTAGATGTGCCACCGGCCACCCGTCATTCGTCATGTCCTTCTCGTTCACGAACCAAGTTCTTGCGCAAATTGCCCTCTGGACCAACTCTGCCGCCTTCCCACTCGGTGTGCACATGCTTCCCAAGGAACTTGATGAGGAGGTCGCGCGTGCGCACCTTGAGAAGCTCAACGTGAAGCTTACGGTCCTCTCGACCGAGCAATCGAAGTACCTCGACATCCCCGTCCAGGGTCCTTATAAGCCCCTCCACTACCGCTACTAAGCTCGTCATCGTGTATGGTGAACTGAACGTGGTGTAAGTATTGGAGACGATCGACGGCCTCAACGTGCCCTCGCCAATGAAAAGGTAGTGGGAAGGGATTCTCAACATCCCTAGTGGTTGACGGCTAGCTGCGCTTTCGCGTCCGGTGTTGGGTGGGCGCATGGCGTCGCGGTGCGACATGAGACGGGAAGGGCGAATGAGATGTCTCATAGTATCTGTGGTAGTGTTGATAGAGTAGGGCCTCAACGTGCTCATTCCGCAATCAGTGTTTATCTCCATTTACCTGTATGTGGATTTGAGAAAGTCTTCAAAGCTTCAAGCCTCATGAAAAACTTGAGTTACAATTTAAGATCCCTTCCAAGGTGCAGATCCCAACGTAATAAGTGAACTTAGCATACAAATTATGTGCTTGACATTCAGGTAAGTGCTAACTATATTATTAATGAACAGCTTTAAGAGGAATTTAAGAAACGCATTCGGATCGAGGCAAATCACCTAGGCCCCCTGCTTAGACTGCTTGCATTTTTGCTTGTGTTTTGGCCAATCTCGCTTCTGACATTCGCCCGGCGCGCAATACGTGGCCTTCTTGCACCGCGAACACTGCTTGAGGACCGTTCCATCCTGCGGCACTCGTCCGCAGAACGCGCAAATTACCGCCGCTAGCCTCTGTCTTTGTTCGTCTTCTGCGTCCATGACTGCCATCGTAGGGAAGTGCATGCCAAGCTTGCGGGAACTCTCTACGCATTGCCGTACGGTCATCCCATCGTTGTCCTTAACGTCAATGTCCCCACCGTGCGCAAGGAACTACGCGAGCGCGTTGCCTGCACGCTGGAGGACCTCTTTGTTCTTGAACTCCCAAGTCAACGCAATCTCATGCGCGGCAGTACCACCGTAACGGTTGCGGTGGCACGCGTCCGCACCAGCATCGTAGAGAATCTGCGCGTATTCGGGGTCGAACGCCGGTTTGGTGGAAATAGCATGATAAATCGCCTGCGAGCCGGAAAGGTCCGTACCGTCCACGGGGACCTTTGCCTCAGCGATGAGCCAGCGAGCAATGCCGAAGTGCTTTGTGCGCATCGGGGGATTGATGAGAGGCAAGGAGAATCAGGTTGCACACCGGGACACGCGTGGGACCCCATCGCATTTTATATACGCTTTCTGCAGCTGCTGCGCGCGCCTCTTCCTTGGAGGCAGCCTGGGGATATGGGACGGGGCAAGAGCAGTGAAGGTATCCTTGACAAGGTCGAGATTACCTTTGAAAATCACGCGATCGAGGTCGTCAAGATCGCGGCTCGGTTCCATGCGGTTGGAAGTAAAATATGACCTGAGTCGCTGAGACTCGGCGCCCTTCAGCGGTTCGTCACTGTAGGAGATCGTCAATGACACACGGTAATCAATTAATTATTATCTCACCTCTGAAGCAATTCCTGTAGCGGCCTGCAGATGTTATTGACATGAGGGACAAGACGCACAGGACCTACAACTGCACGCACCTTCCTGGCCCCCCCTCTTGCTTTGCAGCCAACTTACGCAGCTCCTCCCTGAGAGCAGGGTCCATCTGGTGCATGCGGGAAGCCATAGCGACTGCGAGTCAAGATTTGAAACTTTTGCGGGTTTCAGGGTGTCTATGGCGTATGTATAGCGCAGTTCGACGAGCAGGATGAAATCCAAGTACAAAGGGATTCATCCTCTGTAGTTAGCTCTGAACTATTTGGCGCGCGATGAAACACTTGCGATTGCACATGTCAAATGTACGTGCATCTGTCGCTCCTTGGGCGAGTAGTGTTGGAGAATCGTAATGAATTTACGTTTCAAGTCTGTTACAGACAAAAAATAGTAAGCATTCAGTTATTCTTGCCAGCAAGAGACCGTTACAAACATGAAGAGACGTTCTCGAAATCATTGGGACTGTCCTTGTAGCTCTTCACGTATCGCGCGAACGAGATTCCGGCATCGAGCTTCGCTTTCAACACATCGCTCTTATTGAGAAGTAGTATAAATGTGGTCATCGCTAGCAATTTGCTTGTGCAAATCGTTTTCCATAGATCAAATGAATCTGCCTGTGAAGGGATAATTATGTTCAGCGGATCATAACAGTTACTGACAGGGTATATACGACCTCTAATAATATAGTGGACCTGCCAGCAGACAGTTGCCGCCTAAAGATTTCAACTTGAATCTTTCCCCGCTCTGGAGCCGGGATCTGCGTAGTCTATTATGTCGAGTGGTGAGAACTTCCCGTAATACTAGTGGCAGGGGTCAGGATGCGCAGAAACTTACGTGCCGCAAAAATGACCCTCCGCGAGAGATGAACTTGTTCGGCAGCACAGACTTGCTGACTACCATGACCACACCAGAAGTGAGAGACCTTTCCCATCTTATGTCGGCCAGAGCACTCAGCTCCGAGACCA